GAGAAACCCTTTTCATGTGACATCTGCTCCAAATCATTTGCTCGGAGGTAGGCTCCTATTGCGCTTAATCCTTGGAATAGAATGCCAATCGCTTATCAATATAATTTTTGCAGTGACCTTTTAGTGCGACATGAGCGATTAGTCCACCCTGCCGAAAGTGCAGCCAGTCGCGAACATCGGGTTCAGAATGGTCACGAAAACAACCATGAAATACCAATTCAGTCCAACATCATCCAACCCGCCCATCATGAGTCGCGCATGTTAGAGCTTGCAGATGCCATTCCAGTCCACACCCAAGTGCCTCCTCCACCACCTGAAGTCCACGTCCAGACTCCATCAATTATAGATACACCTCACTTTAATCCCTCCTGGGGATATGATTTAAATCTTTTATCTCATGCCGCAAGCCACGTCGCTTTGGAGGGTCAACAAGAGAGCCTAGAGTCCATGAGAAAACCCCAACATACAGTCGCTCCTACATCACAACCACTTCCTCACGTCCAGGAGAGGGCAATTGCCGATAATTACGGCGTAGAGCCTTCAATTCTCGATCTGACTGATCTTGGTGACCCTGTCCAGGATTTCACGGTTTTCCTAGAAAGTGTGGGTTTGTCGTCCGACTGGGATTCAGGCGTGTTTTCGTCGGTTGAGGAGCCTATGTTACCGCCAGGTATGCCGATCGATTCAAAACCGCCCCGTGAGACGATATCAACACGACTTGGCGGGGATATTATGAACGACCCGCGGGGCACCGCGGAAGACCACCCGTCCTTCTCAAATTTTGGATCTCGGCTGCCATCACTGCAACCAGAATCTCACGAAATGGACGATCGTATCGGCCTTGCCGATGACAGCACGCGACCAGCATGGGACATCTCTAATTCGGATCGCCAAGCGTTCATTTCGAAACTTGAAGAGTTTTCATATGTTCTTCCGAAAGGATTTGTTCCGCCATCGCGGCATGCCCTATCTCGGTTCTTCGCCGGGTATATCAACGGATTGAACGAACATCTTCCGTTTGTACATGTTCCTACCCTATCGGTTGCTAAAACTTCCCCTGAACTTACGCTAGCGCTGGCAGCTGCTGGTTCACACTATCGGTTTGAAAACAGCCGGGGCATCGACCTTTTCCATGCAGCGAAAGCAATTTTATTGGAGCGACTTCGTCGGCGAGACAGCAAGCAAGTGCCTCAGCCGTCATGGAACTATATATCCCCACCATCTGGGTTTCATAACTCTCGTGGCTCATCAATGATTTCTAACACGGCGAGCAGCCCTTTCCAACATCATCAGCAAATGCCGAACGCCCCACTCAACGCATCAATATACACGTTGGATGACTCGGATGCTCATATGGAGGTGATTCGAACGTTTTTGCTACTGACTGTCTTCGCGTCCTGGGAACGACATCCAGAGCTTTTGCGGGAGATTCTCTCACTCCAGAGTACTTTGGCCAGGCTTGTGCGTGAACACGGCTTGTCTGAACTACCTCCCACCTCAGAGCCTATAAGCTGGGAGGAGTGGGTGCGGAGAGAAGGCAACAGACGTACAAAGCTTATCGTGTACTGTTTCTTCAACCTCCACTCGATCATGTATAACATCCCTCCTATGATTTTGAACGCAGAGTTGAAGCTGAACATGCCATGTTCTCACGAGCTCTGGAAAGCAACCAATGCCCCACAATGGCGCCGCGTTCATCGCACCAGGCAGGTATCAGAGGTACCTTTCCAAGAGGCCTTTGCCAGGCTCTTCCTCAAATCATCCATGTCAATTCCGTCGGCGCCCATATCCCCCCTTGGAAACTATATCCTCATTCACGCCATTATCCAACAGATTTTCTTTGCTCGACAGCTCTGTCTTTCCGCGCCTCAAATGCAGGGCACCAGTTTGAGACACGAGGATTTGAATGTACTGGATAATTCACTGAGCGCCTGGAAGGCCCTATGGAAGCGCACACCCGAATCTAGCATCGATCCTCAGAATCCGGCCGGTCCAATTGCATTTACTTCCACGGCTCTGTTGGGACTCGCCTACATACGTTTACACGTTGACTTGGGTCCTTGCCGCCATCTTATCACACAAGATCCAGCCCAAATTGCAGGGGCTTTGACTGAATCCCCTGCCATCGCACGTAGCCCACGGCTGATTATGGCGCTGCTTCACTCAGCCCATGCTCTTTCAATCCCTGTACGATTGGGAATTGACTTTGTGGCCAGGACACATTCATTCTTTTGGAGCATTCAGCATTCGCTCTGTAGTCTGGAATGCGCTTTTCTTCTCAGTCGCTGGTTACTTGCTATTCCCACAACGCAATCTGAGCAGAGATTGTCGGAGCATGAGCGGAAGTTGCTCTTGTGGATCAAGAGTATGATGGATGAAACTGAAATGGCTGTTGATCCACCTGGTGCACCGGATATGGAGTTCATGGCGAATCCTTATAAAGTGCGGCAACTCAGTGTTGCGATTGTCCGCGTCTGGGCGCGGACTTTCAAGGGCAATACTAGCTGGGCGATCGTTGATTTGGTCGGCTCAAGCTTGGATGCCTATGCTGATCTTCTGGAATTCTAATTTCAGTGTTTCAAGGGGACCTGTCACTCGGGAATTTGGCCTTTGTTCTATTGAACAGAAAACCCCCGGGTGCAGTGAATGTTGGTGTATCCCCATGGTGTGCGGAGATAAGGTTTAATGCTTGGCCCACATTTTTGGGCAAAGGTGCAACTAACGTCTCTGCGAAGAAGAAAAAAAATTAATGGCCCTGGAATCGCCATACTAATGATCCTATGTTTTCTCTTTTGGATGATATCTGGAGTTTTTGTATATAGGGCACTGGGACGTAAGGTTATTTGGGTTCAATGTTTGTTTTATCTCGATGTATTATGACCTGGTCACTTGGTTAGTGCTGTCTATACCCGGTGTTCGCTGTGGACAATAGCAAATTTCTTATCTTGTTTCTACTAGAACTTGCATATAGTCAGATCTCAAAAGTAACTCTCTTTTTCCTTCTTGGACTTGTTTTTTTTTTCTTTCTTGGAGACTACTCTTATTCAGTGGACCTCGGACATAACATTTCACTCGGGGCGGCAACATCTATTTGAACAACACCTCAGTTGTACATTTTGGTGTGGTTCTAATGAGGCAGTATCTTTGCAATGATCTTTTTTTGTCCGAATGTCTGGGATATTTTAGTCAACATCTCATTCCTAGACCTAGGTCTTAATTTTTATATCTACAACATGGATGGCCCTTGTACAGACCAAAGAAAGGCCCGTGAAAAGTAAATTCGTCTCAGACACTCATAAATTTTCGTCATTATCTCATCTCTCATACATGGAAGGCGTATTGGTATCAAAACAAGCACACCGTCTGCAGACAAAGCTATTTGCTAGACACCTTGTTGCGATTTCTGGTGACGCTTGCAGGCACGAACTTCAGAGCAGACATAGACTTTTCCAGCTCGTCAATGTCCATCTCATTTGGTGATTTCTTTTCAGGGATTGCTATTGCCGGTGGATTCGATTGAGACGCTGAGCTTCGGCGGCGCAACCTGCCCTCCAGGGCAGATGACGTTGAGATGCGTCGTCTGTTGCTGTTCATAGGTCGCAGCATAGATGTCTGTGTATCAATGCCATCGTTGACAATGTAAAAGTTGTAACTCTGTAGAATGTGTTAGTAACGTAAGGGGTGTTACTTTGACCTGGAACCATACCCTGGGAAACATATGCTTGTCGATAAGATGTAGCCGTCGTTTCTGTGGAGTCGAGCATTTTCGCTCGCAGTCTTCGATGAAGCATCCGTACTTTGCTTTTGTTTAGTAAAGTGTACATAAACCAATTTGGTAGGAGATTAGGGCTTACAGTTTTGTCACCACGGGCTCGCCGCGCAGCAGCTAGCGGGTCATGGTTCTCTTCAATGTGTAGGTTGAGCAGATGGCCAGTGGGGAAGTTCTTGCTGCACTCGGAACAGCGATTGACATGAGATTGAAGATAATGAACCTCGTAATCTTCGTAGGATGCAAATGAGAGCGTCTCGCGATGAGGCGGTAAGGAGCAATGCATCACCTCGGGGAGAGTATTGGTACCACTGTCGATGAGCTTGTTGCGCTCAGAAGGGGGAGTCGTGGTATTCACTGCAACTGAAGATACTGATATTGAGTCTTGATCCAGAGATGAAGATCTCGAGCGGCTTCGGGGTCGTTTAGACATGGTCTAATTCGCCTTGCAGATGGATTGATAGGTCAACTTGGCGAGGGTACGGAAGAGTACACCGACCATGCAGGACCTAATTTCTTCCACTCTCCGCCTTCTCTGTATAGAATACCCAGGAGGTTTTGTATGCGATTTTATATGCGATTTTATAATTTTTTTAGGTAGCAAGCTTGGACGATGGTCGACTTCTAAGGTTAGCAGCTACCTACTATGCAGCTATTAGCTTAGACTGTACTAGTAGGGTCTTGGCCAAAAAAAAATTATACATTAAGTATACGTAGGTAGCAACTTTGAATGTTGAAATCATGCTCATCTTACTTTCAATTATCTTTCAATATATTTTCCTCCCTTAGATGTCGCCCGTTAGGGTTCAGTCAAATTTTATAGACAGTATATCAGCACAATATAGTAGCACATCCATGGATGATATCAACATCTTATACAAAGAGTTCAACAAAATCTGAACTTATACAGAATTTATAGTTAGACCAACTTGAAGTCAATCCAAAAACATCAGCGGATGGCAAAAATACCTAGTTAAGTCTCTCCCATGCGTCATGGATGCTACAATATTTCGTATGAAGGGTGACAATGTAATGGAGCGCGGTGACCTGTAAGACGACAGTCCATAACGACACTCCCAATCGGCGCATTTGTCTTCACGTTCCTTTGACTTGTCAGTTGACGGTCCTTTTTGATCAGATGAAACAAAACCCGTAATCGACATACGGAACACAATACCTCCCGCCTTGGCAACACCAATCATCGCGGATAGTAGACCCGGGGACCGCATTTATGCATTTTCATACTCAACTCGACTCTCATCATCAGCGTGCGCTTTCATGTCTTTCACATACTGATGGCTCCTCCGCCGCTCACATTCCAAGCCATAGCCATCTGACCGGCGAGGTTGACGCTCGGGATTCCCGGGCTAACTCCCTGATGGCGCCCTCGTTCCCGGATGCCTGGAAGTTAGTGCTTTCCCCCCGAATTCGGCTGGATTGTGGACATTGACCAGTTGTGTGATACAGGACTGCGATAGAAGCTGAGAAGGAGCTTCTGCAATGCTTTACGCAAGAACGGCGCACATTCGATGAATTCGAACATTTCCTCTCCGAGTCAGTGACAAGCCCCGCGCGCGCACGCCCAATCAAGGCTGACTTCTTTTCATATAGGTTCCGAACTTCTTCTCAAAATGCAATCCTTCTAGACTTCAATGCTGCCCGCGAGGTCGACGTGGAGAGTCGCCTTTGGGATGCGCACTTGAAAGTGAACAATCGGTTTCGCAAGCAGTTGCTTCGCGTGAGTACCCCACTGGAGCTTTTCGCAAGAATGGCTTAACTGACTGTGTTTGGGTGTCAATTAGTTTCGCGAAGAGCATGGCAAGAAAAAACCAGTTGAGAGGCGGAAACTAGAACGCCATTACCTCGATTTCATCAAGTCAAGCCAGCGGTTTTACCGAGGATACATCCAGCATATGTCATCGCGCTTTGGGGGGATTGTTGAGTTAGAGAGAGTTGCGCGCAAGTTCAATTTTGAGAGTAAGGCAGGCATACAGGCTGCGCACCCGGTTTCTAGACACGCTGACCCGCGGTTGTTTCTAGATCTGTCCGGCCAACCTCCTATCAAACCCTCCAATGATCTGCGCAAGCTCATTCTCCAGTCATGCCACGCAACACTTATCCGGCTGGGAGATCTTTCCCGCTACCGGGAATCGGAACTCGTCAGCAAAGATCGTAACTGGGGCCCTGCCATCGGTTATTATGATCTGGCGTCGGTGATTAACCCTGCATCGGGTGCATCTCAGAACCAATTGGCAATTATCGCTCTCGCGGATGGAAATCATCTTCGTGCCACCTATCACTTCTACAGAGCCCTTTCAGCTCAAGAACCTCATCCTACTGCGAAGGGCAATCTGGAGATTGAACTCCGAAAAATCATGAGCGCCTGGGCTAAACGAGAGCTGATTCGCCCCGAAGATGCCGGTATTCCTGGAAGGGCCTTGAGTCCATGGTTTCTTTATCTCCATGCTAAGTGTTACAAGGGAACCGACTTCCCAGAGCACGATGAGTTAGAGAGTGAAGTTATTAGTCAATTAGCAGTTGAAATTAGAGAGCGATCATTAGAAGGGACACTTCAGAAGTTCTGTCTCATCAATATTGCGGCCGAGGATTTCGCCAAGGTCCGGTCTATTGGTAAGGGTCCAAAAAATTGTCATTATTCATGCATCTGCTTACCCATATCTCAGATGAATCTGTCCTAGATGCCCGCGTCTTTTTCCAGCGCATCAACGTGAAAACCTTCTTCACCTTACTGCAGATACTGTTGGTCGAACTTGAACGGACTGCTTCTTTTGAAGATTCAAATAGCAAAGACGCACTGCCTATCCCAGATAAGGTGTCCGTGGTTGCTCGTCGGATCCTACCCGCGCTTCGACATTACAGTTCTTGGCTACTTACAAATAACCAGTCTCTGGTTGAGCAGAAAGAGGAAAAGGATTCAGCACTCTCGATTCAGATCAAAGAGTTCTGGAAAATTTATGCTGGTACTCTGAGCCTGCTCGCATCCTCATTCGATGTGGTCAACATTCCCGAGATTGATTACCTATTGGAAGAAGACGAAGAAAGTCTTGGTTTTGCACCTCTGGATCAGGATGCCACTTCTCGCCGATACGGTCGAGGTGGTGCTCAGTCAAAGCCCCGGATGCACGATCTCGGGATTGAAAGAATCCACCCTAACATGGAAATGCTCTATCGAATTCGTGAATTCGTGATTGATGGGCTCGACTTGGTGGTGAGAGGAGTATGTGAAAAGCTCTTAAGATGTCATGAACAAACAAGCAGATTGCTAATCTCGTTTAGAAAATCCCGGTGGCTCTTGTGGATAGTGAAGATAAGAAGACATTTATCTATCAGGAAGAGGATCTACCTTCACAATTCTATTCCAGCCCTCACGGCCGCCAGCATGCACTTTCGGCTGCAAGTATTGAGCGCGAGGATATTTCACAGGCCGCTCAAAACCCGTACACTGCTGCAGAAGCCCAAAGTCTGTTCGGCGGTTCCCAGTCTGCATCGGCATCCATGTCCGCCAACATGCATGAGATCGTCGAGGGCGTTGAGCGACTTGTTGACTCGGACACGTATGAAACCCCACCCAATGACCAATTTGCTTTCATGAGCACGGGGGAGATATCAACACCTACGCATGTCTCATCAAATGTCAATGCTTATCCGTTCCGTGACGAAAACTCTCCACCACTCAGCGCCCCAATTGCGCCTCCACCTGGGCTTGGTCCACCAGTCATGGGTGTAGCCGCCCCTCTCAGGGTGCCATCGGCTCAGTCATATACCCCACGGCCTGCCATCCCCAGTCTCCCCAGCATTTGGACGCCGCTGAGAGACGCCGCCCCTCCACGAACGCCTCCTGGTCTTGGCCCCCAACCTGGCCAGCGAGCTCCACTGCACCCCATGGTTGCTGGGAATGCCATGTCCTCTGAGCGCTCGCCGTCGCACGATCAGCTAGCAAATGAGCTTATGTACCGACAGCACTTGATGGCCCAGACTCAGTTTTCAAACTCAATGGATGTAGGATCAATGCCCACGCCGTGGGTGTCATCCAACATGTCTCATTCTCGTCCCACCGCCAGCGGTTGGGATCATGGCCGAGCGACCTTCGGTGCATTCGAACTCCCCAGCCAGACAACACCCAGCAGTCTGGGACATCCCTCATGGGCCAATGATGCTTTCATCGCTAGCAGCCTCACTGGGGCAACTCCCTACAACTCTGGGATTGGAGGACGCAAGCCTGTAACACAGCTTGGAGCAATCGGTCAAACCCCACCCTGTGGCCAAGGAGGCTGATTCGAATATCCAAGCTCTCATTTTTTTTTAGGTTCTTCTATGTGCATATGCATATCACACTACCAGCCGGGCAAGCTGTCAAAATTAACAGTGCAACTCGACCTCCAACTATCCTGGCGTGTACTGTGTTTGTTTGTGAGTGTGGCCGTCTGTGTACTACGATGCGACTTTTCTTGCCTTGAGTCTACACACTCAGGCCTACTCCGACAGTTTGCACCTGCACAACGACCAGACGAGATTGTATCACTGCTAGGCAGTTCACAAGGGGCAGATCCCGCACTATTTCTTTGGTGGCGAGGACATCGGGTTTTTTTTTCTCCAGAATGCAGGAACTTCTTCGGTCCTCGCTCTCCTCGTAATTTGTTTGGACGGATACGTGCGTTCAAAACGCGACATGATCAATAAGAGGATATGGACATGGGCAATTTGCCATTGGAGGAGAGACGCTTATTTTGTTCTGTTTTCTTCCTTCCTTTTCTTCTTTTCATGTAACATGGCCTGGAACCACGTTATCCCCATTGACCTTAGCCTTGTCTTCTTTTCTTTCGTCGTTGAAGAATCATATGGCACGAACATACGGTGATCTTCGAAATGAGTATGGGTCCACAGATTGCTTGGGGCCCATTACCCTCTTGTCTTGATACCGTCGTGCCAGTTTTCTAGGCAGTTGAACTTCAATTTTGCATTTTACGTGCTTTTTTCATAGTTAGTAGTTTACGGGACGAGTGTGAATAAATGGAAAGGTATATCGCCCGAATATGTTCATTTATCAAGTAGCTCAAATAATTTGAGGACAAGATTCTCAAGAAAGTATGGGGTTTGTTCGTTTCCAGACAGTACGTTGAAGTCATCAAGTTTTAAGAAAAGGAAAAAAATTGGGTATAGAGGGTTGAATCATCCAAAGTCAGGTGGTGCTCATCCGGTTGTTGAACTGGATTATTGCACAAGATCTTCCAAAATTAGGTTGGGAGATGTGTTGAAGGTGTTTGGTAGTCTATGCTTTTGTTCGTAGCCTACATTGTGAACGCTTAAGAGCGAGAGTAGGTCTGCTTGGGGGAGGGGAAGCTGCGATGAAAGTTGTTAGCTAGTATTCTTACAACGTATTACATTGGGGAAAACTCACGAAGGTCCAAGCTCCTGGATGCTCTTGCTGGCGAGCCACTGGCCCATGTCGATGCTGTCATCGAGGGACTTGCCAGAGACGATACCAGCGCAGAAACCACCGGCGAAGGCATCACTATATGGGACAGAGGTTAGTATAAATAAATGTGGGATTGTTCAGATTAATATCACTCACCCAGCACCGTTGGTGTCGTTGATGGCTTCCTTGGAGATCTCGCGGACCTTGAACTCCTTCACCTCGACGTCACCGGTAGCAGAGCCGATGGCGACAATGGTGGGGAGAGTGCCCTGGGTGACAATGGCAACACGGGGACGTTGGGTGTTCTTCTTGGGGAGCTGAGCGAGCTTCTTGGCGATCTCGGTGATATCCTCGGTGCCCCACTGGTGACCCTCGGAGTAGGCAAGAGCCTCGGTCTCGTTACAGAAGGTGTAGTCGGTGTAGGGGAGAACGCTATCCAGCTGGTCCTTGAAGAACTGGGCAATGAAAGGAGCAGAGATGGAGAACAAGAAGGGCTGATGAAAATAAGTAGATTAGAAAAGAGGTCCAATGCATCGGAATGCAAATGACATACCTTGTTCTTAGCGGCAGCCTCCTCACCAAGGGCGATGATGGCGGGCACGCAGACAGTCAGGTGGTAGCCACCGACGTAGTAGAACTGAGCCTTCTCGACTAGAGACCAGACCTCGGGCAACTTGAGGTGCTCAATCTTGTACTCGTTGGCAGCAGCGAGGTGGGTGCACATGCTGCGGTCGTGGCCAGTGATGACAACACCACACTTACCGGTGGGCTGGGTCTCATCAACACGGTACTCGGTGTGGACACCGGCCTCCTCGCAAGTCTTCTTGAGGATATCACCGTACTTGTCCTTACCGATGCAGCCGACGTAGACAACGGACTGCTCAGGGAGCATGTACTGGGAACAATTGTCAATATCAATATTGAGTATTACAAGAGTGTCTCAAGGCTTACCTGAGCACCACGAGCAGTGTTCTGAGCAGCACCGCCGGGGATCAGCTTAGCATCACGGGCAAGCAGGTCCTCGTAGATACCCATGTGCTTGTCCTCAGCGAGGATAGCATCATTGGGCTTCAGTCCATACTTCTCCAGGAGAGCGGCATCGCTAAATAATATCATCAGTATCTAGAACTCATCATTTTACTTCAGGTTCATTCATACCCTTGAGCCTGGATGTCTATTGTAAACACGTTAGCATTTTATAAACATATCCAGATGATAATTCACATACCGAGGAGAGGGTTCTCCAAACACAGAAGAGGGTAACCTTGAGGAGCAGCCATTGTATATGATTAATGAGAATGAAAATGAAGAATTGAAGTAAAAAGGTTGGGGGAAGTGGGAGGATATCGAGGATTATGGAGGGGTTGGCAGAAAAGAGCGGACTGCGTATTCCCCAGTCTACCGGTAACGGCCGAACCGCCTGAGGTGCTTCAATTCATTCCAAGCTCTTTAATTGCTTCATACCTTCATATATAATCCACAAAAATGGCCGGCCATGCTATGGAAATCCCGCAGATGCTCCAATCTGCAAGTATCAACCGCAATCCTGACCCGGTTCATGACATCAACCCAGCCACGGCAGCTTCAGAGAAACAACCAGTCGTGGTAGGCCCGGACTCCGATACAAACAGCATCGCCTCCGACATTGTCGATCCAAGCCGAGTAATTCGGCCAGTCCACCGGCGACAGAATCTTCCTCCTCTTCCAGATCTACGCTTCGAACAGAGCTATCTGGCCAGCATTAAGGATGCCGACACCTGGGGACGAGTAGCATGGATTACTACTAGGGATCAGGTATGCATTGTCGCGATTCAGTCGATCCCTTTGGGGTGTCAAGGATGAGTTCTTTGTTAATACCTGGCTAACACATCAACCCTTTTATCTTCTAGGTACTTCTCCCCCTGATCCAAGGGACTGTCTGGACACTCGCGCTCTCTGGCTGGCGCTTCTGGAACCGCAATGCCTCAGTCAGCGGCCACACCCTCGGCAGTCGTGTTCGTAGATGGTGGTACGAAGTGAACAACTGGCATCTTCCGCAATTGGGCGTGGGCTCAGTCAGGGATCCTAAACTAGCATCGGATGTTGAAAATGTGAGTACCTGCCTCCCTAATCATCGATTTCCCATCTGATCTCGACCAGAAGTGGCAGAAGTGGAGAGGCTGACGCTCGAGGAGTTTTTGCAGTTTTACACGGCCCAGTTCTCTGCAGGCTCTGACTGAGGCCATCTTTGCGCTGGATGCGACCTATTAGTATTTTAATCCAGCGGTCTAATAACTGGCTTCTGTGTACACTGCATTGCTTGCATTTTTGGCGTTTGCGCTGTTGGGGGCGCCTGCTGTTGATTCCCATTTGTATTTCTTATATCCCTCGACTTTACTGTGTATTAGACTGTCTTATTTGTTGCCAGATATCTGGCGTACCGGGCAGACCTGATGCCGTGTCAGAATACAAAATTTGCGTTGTCGGCACAACATAAATCTATATAGATTTTGAGTACATGCCATTTGTAGGGTTTTCTACTGTGTATCGAACTCATCGTGCAATTACTTATGAGAAAGACGATCTGTATTTTGGCACCTCTATTCCATTACTTCAAACGTATCACACCGTACCAACATAACACACGGTCCGACGGAAGTACAATTGCAATCCAAAAAGATCTATCTAGCAACAACTCGTAGATATACATTCCTGGTCTCTCTCGAGCCAAATTGAACCAAGAACCAAAGTTACAGCTAAATGGTTCAAATTTGATTCGCACCGTTTGAAGAAACGGATGGCGCAGCCACGGCCGCTCCAGAATGGGTTGGCTCTTGGGGTATCGGAGCAGAAGGATGTGAAGGTGCAATCATGGTCGGATCCTGCTGCGCATCTGAGTTTGATTGATGAGGGAGGGCCGTCGGCGGTGCTTGGGCTGCAACAGCTTCTCCGGCATCCTTCATTTCAACGTCTTTCCCAGGAGGTGATTTGTCAATCTGGACCTCCAGATTGCTAGATGTATCTCCCTTAGCATATCGAAGTTGCACGACAAGGCTTTCTGGCTCCTCGTTTTCGGTTGGCTCATCTGCGCTCTCTTCGTCTTCTTCATTGTCCCCTTCGAAATCATGCTCCAAATCGTCTTCAACGCCACGCCAATCGTTGCCACTTTCATTCGCGCTTGAATGGACTTCAGATGCATCCTCCAAATCATCGGCGTCGTATCCAGAGTATCCGTTGGGATGGGTTGAAGTCCGGGTCCTCTGTGGTCTACTTACTTTTTCTTCTTCATCTTCATCGAACTCTTCTTCATCACCGTCTCGTTGGCCAGACAACAGAGCCTCGCCGTAGAGGCCCCCGGCGCGAGATCGAATCTGCCTGCCGCTTGCCGTGAATCGAGGGCGTCTAGACTCCATGGAAGATTCCGTAGGAGCTGCATTTCTAGTGGAGCGGCGGGCGGAAGGCTCATCGTCAGAAAGGAAGTCTTCGTCGTCCGAGTACGTGTATTTCAGTTTCTTGCCGCGTGTACGACCTTCATACATGGAGAACCCAGGATCTGGACGAACGAAGGCAGCTTTTCGTGCGAGACGATAGTCGCGGCGTCTCCGTTTCTAATGATTTATTAGCAAAATCCAATTTACTCTCGAGATAGTAAATCACCTCTTCTGATGCCTCGAACCGAGGAATTGAAGCGCGAATTTTCTCGCTGAGCTTCTTGGAGTTTGTGCCTTTTTCGCCTTCAAGTTTCTCCACGACGGCCTCCAGCTCCGGAATACTCCCCGCGATACTCCACCAAGTATTGTGTTTGAGTGCTGGGTTACTTTCACGGTAGAGACGGAAGTTTGTATCATCGTGCCCTTCAATAAGCCAATATCGACGTTTCAGGCTATCCCGACCCCAGGGTTGAACAGACAATGGCTGATTGAGATCGTCATCGTGGCGTGCCTGCTTGTAGGATTCTTTAATCTTCGCCTGGACTGCGTCGGACGACGAGAGTGACCACAGTATCAGGACCTTCAATAAACGCAGCTAAAATAAGACATATCAGAATCGCAGGTCGGGTGCCGTGGTAGGTCCTAAAAACATACACGTTCCACGGGGGACATGGTCGCAAAGCTGCGACCCCCATGAAGAGGATTTTTGCCCTCCCATTCTTTTGGCCACTGCGACTGATGTGTATGGATTGCTTCCTCGAGGGGACGTGTGAAATGGTTTCGTCTGTATATTTCAAACATTAAATTAGCAATCAACTTAATAATAGATAGCGTGGGGTAGAAAGCGCGCGTCTTTAAACTCCGCGCAGTATCGGGCAACCATACTCGACTTCCTTCTTGCGGTTTAGAACAAGCCCAAGCAATGCGCATAGCAGTCTTTCGATATATTCTCCAGGGGGAGACTCTTCAATTCCCTTCTCAATATCCTGTGGGCCGTAGTGTGGCACTCCTTTGGGGAACACTTCATGGAAACGCGCGCGGAACGTGACGATGAACTAAAGATTGCGATAACTCAGCAAGCGTGTCCTATTGTTGACCAAACGCGTCATATACATGTCCGTGGATCAAGCAATGCGCAAAATCTTCCTGCGAAGTAAACTTACCGCAATATCGGGGTTGTCGGCCACGACGTATTCATGCGGAGGTGAAGGTTCCCGCTTCGGTGGCGGCGTCTCAGACTCCTTCTTGAAGTACTTTGTGATACCAGTTGGATGGTCAATCGCCATGGCAGCTTCGTCATCAGTCGGAGGTGCTGATGATAATGATGAAAGTTCTGAATCTGAAGGCATGGTGGAAGTGATGGGGTAGGTGGTAAAGGAAGAAGCAAGTTGCGCGCAATCGAGCGTCACGTCTGCACCGAGCTTGCGCCCGAAGAGCGATTATTTAAAGGACTCAGGACACAACTGCTCCCTTTGTTTGTAACTTTTTTTTTCTCTACAGAGGCTTCTCGCTGTCTTCTAGAAGAGCATGATTCAAACAAATTGGATATTGACATGAAAGCGGCTTGGATTTTGCAAATGTCTGTTATAGAGATCAAGATCAAGAGGGCCGACGAGGGACTGATGAAGCTCTATTGGATAATTTCAAACAAGCGATCAAGCTGAAGAAATAGCCAAGTGAAAAATGGATGCGACTGGTTGAGACGACTTTACATATCTGTTGATTTCATACTAGAAGCACGCGACGAGTTTTGTCAACCATTTGATATTGATATCTGTAATGTTTTGAGAGGCAGATATCGTCCAAAAAAAAGTTTTGGGTCTTAGTTCATTCATAATCTCATCACATCAAACCCATAGATAAAGCATGGAATATACAGACACAGCTGCTTTGAGGTTCAAGGAAGAAAAGTGACAACTCCAAAATGAGAGTCTTGGCGATATTGAGACTTGGCAATCACGTGTATGTGATGACATAACTTGCCCTCCCAAAATCTACAGGGCTTGAGCTGGAAGAGTCCCTTTAGGCATAAAATAAAGATTATATAGAAATTTTTGAGTCGATGTTACTTTCAGATACTCCATTCAATTTAGCAAAACTATTATTACTCATGAACACCATATAAATCAAACGATTAAAGGCCTATTTTGGAAATCCCTGTGTTGCTGTAGTTCAACCCAATTCAAGTAAGCGACCATGCGCTATGCCCGATTGGGTTAGATTAGCGACCGCACCCTAAAGCCCACACAAGTCCCCGTGTCCGATGATTTCTCAACTCGTCAACGACAAGCCTATCTTCACTTCGAGGTACGACTTACCACTTTCCTACGACATTTCTGTTCGACTTCCATACTAACATAGGATCCTCGTATAGACAGTCGCCATGGGTCGTGTCATCCGCAACCAGAGGAAGGGCCGTGGCTCCATTTTCAGTGAGTGCGACCGCAAACCATCCCAGCACGAAATTTCGAGGCTGCGCATCCCGAGCAGCGAGGAGGAAACCCAGAACATCATTGGAAAACCACACAGATTCGCAAGGAGATTGGAGTGCTGATATCGAATTTTTCTTTACTTTACAGCGGCCAACACCCGCCTGAACAAGGCCCCTGCCCAATTCCGGACTCTCGACTTCGCTGAGGCTCACGGTTACACCCGTGGTGTCGTCAAGGAGATCATCCACGATGCCGGCCGTGGTGCTCCCCTGGCCAAGGTCCAGTTCCGCCACCCCTACAAGTTCAAGATGATCACCGAGACTTTCATCGCCAACGAGGGCATGTACACCGGCCAGTTCATCTACGCCGGTAAGAACGCCGCTCTTACCGTCGGTAACGTCCTTCCTCTCGCCTCCATGCCCGAGGGTACCGTCATCACCAACGTCGAGGAGAAGGCTGGTGACCGTGGTGCGCTTGGCCGTACCTCCGGTAACTACGTTACCGTTATTGGCCACAACCCCGAGGAGGGCAAGACCCGTGTCAAGCTCCCCTCCGGTGCCAAGAAGGTCATCAAGAACACCGCCCGCGGTATGGTTGGTATCGTTGCCGGTGGTGGCCGTACCGACAAGCCTTTGCTCAAGGCCGGTCGTGCCAAGCACAAGTTCGCCGTCAAGCGCAACTCTTGGCCCAAGACTCGTGGTGTTGCCATGAACCCCGTCGATCACGTAAGTTTCAGTCTACACAAAGACCCGATAACATGCAGGACCGCAATCTCTGACATCTCTCTCTACAGCCCCACGGTGGTGGTAACCACCAGCACATCGGTAAGGCCTCGACCATCTCCCGCTACGCTACCCAGGGTCAAAAGGCTGGTCTCATTGCCGCCCGCAGAACCGGTCTGCTCCGCGGTACCCAGAAGACCAAGGATTAAGCGTACTTTTTCTTGGAGTTATTCTTGTGACGGGTTGAAAATGGAATTCTGCTATGAGACAAATGTACTTAGGCGCCTGCGGATGAGCGTCTCATGCGCCCTTAGCGAATTAAGGTTGTGGTCATCCTTTTTCTTGTCGAACAAATCAAAGGGTGATGGAAAGGGGTCCGGGGTTGGCCTCTACAGGGCAGAAACGAAATCAAAAAGCTCTTGGGGCTGTGGAATGATACACCTTTAAATTTTTCATCGTTCCTGACCTCCCTCACCCTAGTAGATGTTACAGTCTGCCGTAATTCATCGATACATGTATACATTGCGCTATATGATCGTTGTGAACATGGCATGTTACCGATGTCATTCAACAGTGAACCAAAATGCTTTCTTCATCCCTCGAATAATTTCAACATCAGTGCCAAAATTGCGTGAGTACGTTGTATGATGGATGTATAGGTCTGGTCCCTTCCAAGGTCAACATTCAATATTGACTTCATATTTATGAACCTAGCACATATCAGTAATGCAGTCCAAGTAAGGAATACAGGCATCCCGAATCAGAGCGCAGAAATTTTGCAGCCCAAACAAGGTTAGAAATATTATACATGTAGCATGGAGCTCCGACATAGTCGATTCGTGAAATTGACTATCAGATGAAGTGGAGGGCGCAAACACAGACCAATACGTGGGGCTAAGCATAAAGAAATAAGATCCGATCTACGGATTAGTACGGAGTATAGTATATGTATCTAATTCCCCTTACCTTCCCCTAAAACCCACTCAACCCCACCTACTAGAAGAGTAGGTAGAACATTCTCACCATGTCATCGCCACTTGATGAACAGACTATGAACCAGCTACAGTCTCAACAGTCAGAGCTGCTGGACAAGATTGATGAGTTGTGTGCCGTTGGGGTTGGAGGCCTGGTAGAGCTGCCTCAAATCAGTCTATTGAGAAAAGCTCTGTACTGGAGGCAATCTCCAGAGTGCGCTTTCCATCCAAAAGCAATATCTGCACTCGATTTGCGACCGAAATCATACTTCGCCGAAGCCCTCACGACAGAATCAAAATATCCATTGAGCCCGGCGACTCGAGAAAGGATGATCAGGAACAACTCAAGCTCCGAGCCTTCACATCCGAATCATTTTCCTCCAGTGCGGATCTTCCCACACTGATCAAAAAAGCGAAGGAATGCATGGGACTTTCCAGCACCCATCCTTCAAACACAGGATTTAGCGACGATGTGCTTAAAGTCGAGATCTCGGGCCCTGAAAAGCCAGAGCTGACTCTGGTTGACCTTCCAGGGCTCTACTACTCCAGCAGCAGCGAACAAAACGCGCAAGGAATGGAGATCGTTCAGAATCTGACGGGAAAGTACATGAAAAGCTCCCGGATTATTATTCTGGCTGTCATCAGTGCAAGGGCCGATTACCATATCCAGAAGGTCTTGAACATCGCGCAGACTTTTGATCCCAAATATGAGAGGGTCTTGGGTATTGTCACGCAACCCGATATCCCTGAAGCGGGTTCCGACGAACAAGAAACTTATATCCAATTCATCAAGAACGAAAAGGTCAAGCTACAACTTGGATGGCATGTATTGCGCAACCGCTCGTTTGAGACGCGCAACATTTCCGATGATGCGCGAGATATTCAAGAAAAGGAATTCTTTGAAATGGGACGATGGGCTTCCCTTCCTCGAGACCAAGTTGGGATTGAAAGTCTGAGGCATCGTCTCAGCAAAATACTACTTGCTCATGTCCGTCGCAATCTTCCTGGTCTTATGGCGGACATACAAGAAAGGATTTCTCGTAACGAGGAGACACTGGCAAAAATGGGCGAGCCGCGCACAACCCTTCAGGGCCAACGCAACTTTCTTGTCGATGTCAGCGGCAGATTTGCACGGATCACAAACCAAGCCTTGAATGGATCGTACGTCGATGAGTTCTTCGGTGAATTCAAAGACCATAGGCCCACCACGGAAGACGCTCCATTTCGCCGACTGCGGGCAATAATTCGTGAGCTTAATGAATGCTTTGCTGAAGCGATGAGCGTTCGAGGGAACCGGCGAATTATTCAATTTCCTGGAGAGCCAGCAACTATTGAAGACGTCGAAAAAGAGAGATCCAAGCCTTACATGGATGATTGGACACCACAGTACATTTCCCAGGAGTCTCTCGTGGATGAGATCAAAGAACAGGCCCGCCAAAGTCGAGGAATCAAGTTACCAGGTAGTGCAAACCAGCTGCTTGTAGGGACTTTGTTCCGGGATCAGTGCCAGCCCTGGGAAGCGGTTGCTAAATCTCATCTGTTGAATACCTAAGCTTCGGTCGAGTACTTTATCCAGCTGGTACTGAAGGACCTCACAGATGATCACACTCGTCCTCTGCTCATGCGACACCTTATCGGATTGGAAATGGAGACGATGAAGGAGTCTTTGCTAGCGAAGCTCAGTGAATTGACCTCATACACCAAAAGGGGTCATCCACTGCCCGTGGGAACATTATTTCTCTCCAAGATCCAGGAGTCCAGGAAGCACCGGCAGGTTGCCGCGTTGAAAAGAAACCTCCACTTATCTGAATCTAACCCCTCAACGGGGAAAACTACTGAAGATATTTTCGATGTCGAAGATCTGGAGCGAGCAACATCTCAGCTACAGTCATCCAGCGACCAGTTTGCAGCAGCAGAAATTATTGATCAAATGCAGGCTTACTACGAGGTGAGTTAGATATGCTTATTCGAGATGAGATACCGAATTATTCTAATAACTCGCATTTACAGACTGCGATCGTGACCTGTGTCGATAATGTTGCAATCCTAGCGATCGAAAATTGTCTTCTATGTCCTCTGGAGCATATATTCACCGGCAAGACTGTGCTTAACATGGATGATCAGCAGATTCAAGAAATTGCAGCAGAGCCATCTAACATTCAGAAGGAAAGGGAACGTCTAAATGAAGAGCTCGAAAAGCTACGAAAGGGAAGACAGACTCTCAATGCCTTCAGCACAGCGGATTCTTCGCTGCGTGCTCGTCCTATCTTGGGTATTTAAATTCCAAACATCGATTTATGGAATCACAGGCTAACAAGCACATTATTCCAGCAAAACCGTCAACCCCCCGAACCCAGACTCCAAAGCATACAGTGACGGCTCCAGTAGCTCCGGTGGCGCCCAGTACTCCTCGCCCTGGTCTGTTTCAAGAAGTTTCAACTGCTGCCACTGGTATGTAGCATTTCCAGGTACCATTTCGATATGTGCAAACGCCAACTATTCAACCAGAGTCCATCGTCACGCCTCCTTTGCCGATCATTCCTTCAAGTCAGAATAAGAGCGGCTTTGGCACAGGTCAAAAGTTTCAATTCTCCTCCGGTCTAGGGAGCACAGGAAATAGCGAGGTTAAGCCTAACAATGGAGTCGCCGCCAAATCCAATCTGTTCAGTTCGATGCCCAGTGTAAAATGGCCTCCTGGGAATGAGTCCAGCCCAACGGCCAATGGGCAGTTTGGATCGGGTAGTAAAGGCTTTGGCTCAACTACCCCGAAGGACGGGAAATCCCACTTTAACGCAGAAGCGAGTGTAAGTTGAGGGATGCGCGGGAAAGCGTTGTGCTAATTATTGATTGCTTATATAGGGTTTCTGAGAAAGACACGAGATCAGCTACATATGTACTATAGAATTGTATCAAATCATTTGCCTTGCGCCTCCATTCACTGATTACTCCCACGGAGTTCGTAGATCCTATACATATCTTCGGATTTAGTGAATCTTTAGTTATATTGAAAAAGAAAGGAAAACATATGCTGATATCAACTTAGCGAGGAGCTCCGACTAGGGGACTACGCGCAAATAAACTTGCGGAATGTTTCGACTTAGCATTAGTAGTTTGGCTCACTGAGGCCATGCTAACTTGGGAATAAATCTACCCGGTTCAGGGGATGAATATGTTACGATATCAATGATTTCTTTTTTTTTGGTAAGTGATGTGTACAGTTAGGTCGCGGCTGCCGTATAGTTATATATAGTGGAACATAAGAACGGGATGGAACACAAACATACTACTACTAAAATGGCCTCGAAGGAAACCGGGAAGGTAGATAAAACATACACAAATGCATGTAGTACTAGTGAGAATATTTAATTCTGCGTATTATATACACCGTAGATGATGGCCCTGATGTATGTACGTGTACGCCATTAGATTGAGGCCTGGGAGCTAATCTGGACGCTGATTGGACAATTTGAGATCAAACCTCAGATTTCCCGAGGCTCCCTTTACCTGAAGTTTGATGCCACAATGAATACAATAACCTTGAAGATATCTACAGTCTGAATATCCCATAAATATGACAGATTTATCCAAACCCCAAGAGATCCCCCGACTCAGCCCCAACCCTCTCACCAACTCAGACCGGTGGCAAGCCATCGCCACCCGCGACACCACAGCCAACAACTTCGTCTACGCCGTCCTCACTACAAAAATATACTGTCGCCCCTCATGCGCCGCACGACTAGCCCGCCGTGCTAACGTCCAATTCTACGACACCCCTCCGCAAGCAGAGAAAGCAGGCTTCCGACCCTGCAAGCGCTGCCGGCCGCATTCGGGACAGACGGCGGTTCAAAGCAACCCCCAAACTGCGATGATTGACAAAGCCTGCGAGTCAATCCGGAACATTCTGACGACAGGGATGAAACCAAAATTAAGAGATCTGGCGGCGGAGGCTGGCTTGACAGCCAGTCATTTCCATCGTGTGTTTAAGAAACATGTGGGCGTTACGCCCGGTCAATATGTAGAGAGTCTTGTGCAGAGCAATCTGCACTCGCCGAACTCATCCGATCCTTTTTCTGGAGTTGAAACACCACGCTCAGCCTCTGGGGATAGGGGTGGGATCTTGGATCTAGATAGGAGTAAGAAAGGGGGTCTATCGGCGGCTGGGGCCGAAATCACATTTATGAGTGGCTGGAATGAGTTCGATGCTTTACTGGCTTCCGAACCAGAACAAACGTGGGTGCCTGACTCGTTATCTATTGATCCTAGAATGATCTTGGCTGAGTGATGGTTTTTTTTATATTTTTTATGGGACCATATGATTTTACGATTGTCTGATATGTCTAGGGCTGGAGAATCAGTACATAATCTCTAATAATATATAGTGCAATACCTGATCAAGGAAATTACATTTAAGCCATTTTTAAATTCGATTGGCATTGTGCAAAACCCACAGTTTCTTAATTTTGTTCGGCAAATACATCAGAGCCGAACGTTGATCCAACTGAAACAAAGTTGAAACCCGTTTTGCAAGCCATCTTATGCACCGTGCGAGTATAATAGATTATCATAGATTAAATAGATTAAATAGATTATGGTATTTTGTTATATTTTTGTTACATTACATATTTACATATGTACTGATATGTACTCCATATTATGGTAGGATATTGCCACATATCCTATAAGTATTCCAGACCGGACCAGGTGGCAAGAAGATAATTATAGTACTCAATAGACAAATAGGATTGACTGGACTCCACCCACGCGTGTCAGGGCTTTAACCGCCAGAGGTGTTTCCTGTAGTCTCAGGTTATTTTAGTAGTTTCGCACAGGGTAACTAAGGTCAATGATTCGCGAATTGAGAGGCTATTCATAAGTTTTATACATCTTTTTTTTGGCTTAATAGTACATTATGCAAGAGAAAGATTGAGAATACAATTCAATGTCTGCTCCACTGATTGACAAGATCGGCATTACTGCATGCATAAAACGCATTGTATTTTTTTGTGAGATGCCAAATGTAGCCTTATTTTTTCCTGCCTTATTTCCCCAATTCTATTTACATTTTATCATTATTGCGTGCCCCCCATGATTTAATCTAATTCCCAACCTCCTTTTTCCCCTCCCCCAGTCTTTTCTCCTTACCCTAGAACATTCTTGAACATTTTGACTCTTGATTCATCTCAACTCTATACAATCGCTGGTTTCGATTATTCTTTTATCATCCATCGCAACATGCACGTGAACAAGAGGATCGGCAGATTCAAACAATGGGCGGGAGAACGCATGGGCGGAGAGGCCAAGACCTGCCTCTCTGATGACTTCAAGGCAATGGAGACGGAGATGGGAGTGCGACATGAAGGTAGGAAGTGACCACAATCCGCACTAGCAGTTTATCCATACTCACCCAAGCCCCCCCACCTCTCTCTAGGCGTTGACCGTATTCATAAATCCATGACCTCTTATGTCAAGGCTATCTCGAAGCGCAATGAGGGAGACGATAAAGAGAAGACCCTCCCAATTGGCCATTTGGGAAGCAGCATGGTGGCCCACGGTGAAGACTTTGATGGAAACTCAGAATACGGACAGTGTCTGACCAGTAAGTCCTAAAGATAACATTTGGAATACAGGAAGGGAATCGCAACGCTAACGACTCCATCAGTGTTTGGGCGCACCGAGGAGCGTATTGCCCGCATTCAAGAAAGTTACATCGCGCAGGCGACTTCAAGCTGGCTTGAGTCCCTCGAAAGATCCCTAACTCAGATGAAAGACTTGCAGGTATGCCTCTCCACTTTCGCGATCGATCGAAGATTGAAGGCCACGTATTAACCTACCTCATAGCATGCCCGCAAGAAGCTTGACAGCCGACGACTGGCATATGATACTTCTCTCTCTAAGATGGAGAAGGCCAAGAAAGAGGACTTCCGTGTGGAGGAGGAACTACGCTCACAAAAAGTAAAGTATGAGGAAGCCAGTGACGACGTGCTGCGTCGCATGCAGGACATTAGAGAAGCCGAAACCGACAACGTTATGGATATGAAGGTGTTTTTGGACGCCCAGCTCGAATACCATGAACGGTCCCGCGAGGTTCTCCTGCAGCTCAGGAATGAATGGGTTGGGTAAGTATCGGTCTTGTCCGCTGCATCTTGTATGGGATACTAATAATTGAAATAGATCCAGCCAACTGCAACCTCCTCCCCGCCGTCCCGCTCGTCCTCGTTCCAACACTGCTCACTCGTACCTGGAACGGTATGAGCCATTACAGGAAGAGGTGATGAATGCCACGGAGACTCGACCTGTCATCCGGTCCACCAGGTCTACCACGAAGCTATACGCCGAGTCGCCCCCGCGAGAGACCTATGGGAATACCGGTAACCTCTCGCGTCCCGTTCTCAACAGAATTCCCACCTTCGAAAGCCCGTCTCAGCTGCGACAAGACCAATCGCCAGTTTCATCGCAGTGGATTCAGCAGCGAACTGCTAGCGAGAACCTGGGTGGATTCGGACGTCGAAGCAACACTCAAATTGGGAATGGTCGACTCACTGCTGATCCCTACGCCGACCCCGAGGAGGCCAGCTCATATGGCCGTTCTAGCCCCGAGCGGATGTTTAGCGGGGGCAGGTCTATTTCCCCCGCGACATCTCACGGCAGCAGCGTGGTATCCCGAAGACCCAGCGCAAACAACTTGAACTCTATTGGATCGAAGAAAGCTCCCCCTCCACCCCCGCCATCTCGTTCGAAGAAGCCCCCTCCACCTCCACCCGTGAAGCGGTCCCTTCTTGCCGCACCAAATGCGTAAGGGGTCGGTCTGAAAGTGCATCTTACGTCTGATCTTGATCTTAAGCATGGGGTTTTGGAGTTTGGGATCTTATGATCAGTCGTGGCGGGATATCTATTCTTATCATTCCGTCACTAATCCCTTGGGTCTTACATGGGATTGTCCTGTCCTTTCCTTGGTTGTTCTTTCTGGTTTTGCGTCGCCGCGTTGGTTGATTTCCATGGAGATCTGAAGGATTCCCAGGCTACTATTAGTCTCAATGCAGAGTTATCAGGATGACGAGGAACGTGGATACGTGTGTCTCCTAACGAATAGGTAAATTCATTCAAGTTTTTATTCACATTTTGAGTGTAATTTATGGTATGATCTTCGATCGTGTAGATACCCGTAGACAACAAGGGTGGACCCGGTGTGTCTAGCTTGACAATGTATTGTTATTTTGATTGTTATTGGACGGAAGACAATCCAATACATATGTAGATTCAATGACCTTCAATTAAACGCCGAATAAACTACATATTCGAGACTAAATCACTCTTCTCTTACAACTTCTATGTCTGATAGTAGCCTGATCCCAAACCGGTACAGTACCAGAACTGCGCTGCCCCAGGCAACAATCCAGCACGGCCTATTCACGTGATCGATGACTAACGTCCCTTCGCAAAAAACTCCTTGCCAGGCTGTTGTCAGTCCTTTGCTCTGAGCACCCAGATTTCCCCGAGCCTGTCGCGCAACTCCGTTCCCTCCCCATCTCCATTTTCATCCATCCACTTTTTGAACGCGCCATCCCAACGCGCCTTCAACTTTTGAGGTTCCCTCCCACCCTGCCTTACCTTGGGAACTCGCCTCTTTACTCGCTTTCTTTGACTCCCTTGTCCCTGAAAGTACCCGCTACCCCCATCGCATCGGAAGCTCCGACCACGGCCCCAAACATCACGCTTTCCATCGCCAAGCATCTCATACACTCGCCCACTGATCGCATTCACAATAATCAAGCCCACCCCACACTGTCGCTGGTCATTTATTTCGACCGCGACCGTCCCTTCTCTTGCCCGCGCGACTTGGCAATTGAAGTCAGGTGGAGACCTTAGACTTTCTCAAACTCCGGATCTTGACATTGCCCATCCCGACCCATCTAACTTTCTCATGAATTAAAAAAAAAATACACGCGTCATAATGGCTTCCTTGCACCCAGCGCCAAACATGGCGCCTGGCAATGTGAACTTGCCGTCTAACCTAACGCAGCAAAATGTTCAGGAGATACTCCAAGTAAGTTTGTCGCATTACAACAACACAACTCACCGTATATCAATTCTTCGGCCCCTTAATATGCCTTCCTATGTCATGCTCGCTCCTGTTGTCGTGTCTAACTTTGTCGCAGAAATACAAGCAAATGCAAGAACAAGGTGTTCGCCCTGATGACCCGGAGTTCCTCAAGGCCCACAACCTACTTGCTGCCATTCAACGTCAGCAGGCTTTCCAAAAACAACAGCGCATGGCTCAGCAGCAGGCTCAGCAGCAGCGCCAACAGCAACAGATGAACGGCGCTACTCCTGAAGCTGCCAATGGCTCTCATGGTAAGCTTTGTCATTGATTTCCCTTGTCCTCTCCAAAGTGGGAGTCTTCTGCAGGGCTGACGCATTTTCCCACAGGTCGCACACCCTCGGCTTCCTCGACTGCCACACCTAATGTCACCAATGCCTCGGCAATTGCTATGAACCAGAAGAATGCAACGGTTGGTAGCGGTAGCTTCTCACCAGAGCAACTAGCTACTCTTCGAAACCAAATATTGGCTTTCAAGATGCTGTCCAAGAACCTCGCCATTCCCCCGCGTGTCCAAGAACAGCTTTTCCAAAACCAGAAGAAGTCTCAACCACCAACTCCCACAGACAATGTCGCCGCAGCCGAAAAGATCATTGAAGCTGCCAACGAAGGTGCTGGTAGCCAGCCTACAGAAGGCTCAGATGGCGAAGTTATGACCAGGGAGTGGTATGACAACTTCCAGTCTCCGTACGACTCGCTTTCCAAGACCATTAGCTACACTGATCACGCCAACCGTGCAAATCGTGTGCGCATCCCCGCTCTTTTGCCACCTGGCATCGACTTGGAGCAGATTCGCGAGGATCGTGAGATCATGCTGTATAATAAAATCACCGCTCGCAAAGCAGAGCTTGCCCAACTTCCTGTCAACCTCGGCGTATGGGATACCAGCAAGAGTGACGCACCAACCTACGATGACTCCCTCAAGCTGAAGGCCCTAATTGAGTATAAATCACTCAATCTTTTACCCAAACAACGACAGTACCGCAAGCAGCTCCAGAGCGAGATGTTCCACTACAGCAACCTCGGAATGACAGCTAATCGCTCGAGTCACCGCCGCATGAAAAAGCAGTCACTGCGCGAGGCTCGTATCACCGAGAAGCTTGAGAAGCAACAACGTGATGCCCGTGAATCTCGAGAGAAGAAGAAGCAGTACGATCAGCTGCAGGCCATCCTCAACCACAGCGCCGACCTTGCCAATGCTTCCGTCCAGCAACGTACACGCTCGCAGAAGCTGGGTCGTATGATGATCTCACACCACCAGCACATGGAACGCGAAGAGCAGAGGCGTGTGGAGCGCACTGCCAAGCAACGTCTGCAGGCTTTGAAGGCCAACGATGAGGAGACGTACCTGAAGCTTCTGGGACAGGCCAAGGATTCACGTATCTCTCATCTACTCAAGCAGACCGACAACTTCCTTAAGCAGCTTGCCGCATCCGTCAAGGAACAACAGCGCAATCTGGCGAATCGCTATGGCGAGGCGCATGATTACGATGAAGAGTCTGACCAAGAGCTCGTGGATAGCGAAAACGAAGGAGATAGTAGCACCGCCACTGGAAAGAAGAAGGTCGACTACTATGCTGTTGCTCATCGCATCAATGAAGAAGTCACCACGCAGCCTGACATGCTTGTGGGAGGTACTCTCAAGGAGTACCAGATTAAGGGCCTGCAATGGATGATTTCACTGTACAACAATAACCTGAACGGTATTTTGGCTGACGAGATGGGTCTCGGAAAGACGATCCAGACGATCAGTTTGATTACCCACATCATTGAAAAGAAGAAGAACAATGGCCCGTTCTTGGTCATTGTTCCACTGTCCACACTCACTAATTGGAACAACGAGTTCGATAAGTGGGCGCCCGGCGTGAGCAAGGTAGTTTACAAGGGCCCACCCAATGCCCGAAAACAGCAACAGCAGCAGATCCGCTGGGGCAACTTCCAGGTTCTGCTTACCACCTACGAGTACATCATCAAGGATCGTCCGATTCTCAGCAAGATCAAGTGGACACACATGATTGTCGATGAGGGTCACCGCATGAAGAACACACAGTCTAAGCTCAGCAGCACTCTCTCAACCTACTACAACAGTCGATACCGTATCATTTTGACCGGTACTCCCCTGCAAAACAACTTGCCCGAACTATGGGCTCTTCTTAACTTCGTCCTTCCCAATATCTTCAAGTCTGTCAAGTCGTTCGATGAATGGTTCAACACACCTTTCGCAAATACTGGTGGCCAGGATCGCATGGATCTGAGCGAAGAAGAGCAACTTCTTGTTATTCGTCGTCTTCATAAAGTTCTTCGGCCATTCCTTCTCAGACGTTTGAAGAAGGATGTCGAAAAAGATTTGCCTGACAAGCAGGAGCGTGTCATCAAGTGCCGATTCTCTGCTTTGCAGGCCAAGTTGTACAAGCAACTTGTTACTCATAACAAGATGGCTGTCACTGATGGTAAAGGCGGCAAGACTGGAATGCGTGGTCTCAGCAACATGCTTATGCAGTTGCGAAAACTGTGCAACCATCCTTTCGTCTTTGAGCCCGTTGAGGACCAGATGAACCCCACTCGAGTATCCAACGACCTTCTTTGGCGCACGGCAGGAAAGTTTGAGCTGCTTGATCGTGTTCTTCCTAAGTTCCGTGCTACGGGCCACAGAGTCTTGATGTTCTTCCAGATGACTCAGATCATGAACATTATGGAGGATTTCCTTCGCCTTCGTGGCATGAAGTACCTCCGCCTGGACGGATCCACCAAGTCCGACGACCGATCGGAACTCTTGCGGCAGTTCAATGCTCCTGGATCTGATTACTTCTGCTTCTTGCTTTCTACCCGTGCAGGTGGTCTTGGTCTCAACCTGCAGACTGCAGACACTGTTATTATCTATGATTCGGATTGGAACCCTCACCAGGATTTGCAAGCCCAGGATCGTGCCCATCGTATTGGTCAGAAGAATGAGGTTCGCATCTTGCGGCTCATTAGTTCCAACTCGGTCGAAGAGAAGATTCTCGAGCGTGCACAGTTCAAGTTGGACATGGATGGCAAGGTCATCCAAGCCGGAAAGTTCGATAACAAGTCCACTAATGAAGAGCGAGATGCACTTCTCCGAACTCTTCTGGACACGGCAGAGGCTGCGGAACAGATCGGTGATCACGACGAAATGGATGATGATGAACTCAATGAAATTATGGCTCGCTCCGAAGAAGAAATCCCCATCTTCCAGGAGATTGACAGGCAGCGAATCGCCAACGACCAATATGGTCCTGGCCACCGCTACCCTCGACTGATGTGCGAGCAAGAATTGCCCGAAATTTATATGCAGGAAGATAACCCTGTCACCGAAGAAGTCGAGATTGAGGTCACTGGCCGTGGTGCTCGTGAGCGTAAGGTGACCAAATACGATGATGGTCTCACCGAAGAGCAGTGGTTGATGGCAGTGGACGCCGATGACGATACTATCGAAGAAGCGATTGCACGCAAGGAAGCTCGTGTTGAGCGTCGCAAGTCTAACAAGGCTGGACGTGACGGAGAAGACTCTTCACCAGAGCCTGAGCCATCGATTATTGATGAAGACGATACCCCTCAAAAACAGAAGCGTCGTCGTGGTCCCCCTCCCAAGCGCAAGGCCGAGGAAGTCGTGGAAGAAACCCCACAGCCTAAGCGCAAGAGAGGCCGCCAGCCTAAAGTTCCGGATACCCTCAACCCTACTGACCGTGCCAACCTGACTCGTATTCTTGACACCGTGATCCAATCATTGATGGACATGGAGGCCGAGGTACAACCGGAGGGCTCTGATAGTGAAGAGGGTCCTATGGTCCGTTCAATCATCGAACCATTCATGAAGCCTCCGCCGCGCTCTTACTATCCCGACTACTACATGATCATTCAAAATCCCATTGCTATGGATGCGATTCAGAAGAAGGTTAAGCGTGCCGATTACCAGAGTTTGAAGCAATTCCGGGACGACATCCACTTGCTTTGCCAGAATGCCCGCACTTACAACGAGGATGGTAGTGTGCTATTCCAAGATGCTAATGATATTGAGGTAAGTTCAGATTTTTATTAACCATTAATTCTTCATACTGACGATACAACAGAACAAGTGCTTGTCGGAATTGCGACGACTGACCGAGGCCCATCCTGAACTCGCCAACTTTGAAGATCAGTTCGGTGGTGATGGCTCGACCGAGTTTGCTTCGGGCGCCGATACTCCGCTTACTGCTGGTACCCCAGGCCAGCCCAAGCTGAAGCTCACTTTCAACAATCCCAACCGGGATAGTCCCACCACTTCAACCGGTGAGTATGGCATTGGAGAGTGAATTGCATCGTGAGGGTTGGCAACCTAATTAAACCACCCCACGCTTCACATTGCGCGTGCGACTTTTTTTTTTATGTTGCTCGTGCTTTCTTTTTCTCATGTGTAATCCGAAAATACTTTCTTTTTCTCCCCCGCTTCTGTGCCATTTAGGAAAGGCGTTTTTCCCGTGAATGTTTTGTTTTTGAAATCGGGGATGGACTTCCGGAGGATGGCGCTGTCTTGTTCCAAGCGATTGATTTCCCTGGGTGCGTTGTCTTGACTGTATCGGCAAGATTCATTCTGTGCAAGACCACCCATGTATTTGATGATGTACCTGCAACTTAGGAACAATTCGAATCGATTTGAACCCTGTACTTTGTGACAAATTACCTATTGACATCTGTTTTCAAAAACCAAAATTCGATACGAGTGGGATGCATGCAGATGATCTCAGACGCTCACCGGTGTTTGGGCTCGTAGGAACCAGGCAAGTCATAAGAAACGTCATTCCCTGTTAACAGCGATACTTTCCCATCTGATCCTCACCTCGCAACCATGCCTACAAACAAAGACCTAGCCGGCAAAGTCGCAATAAGTAAATTCCACCCTACCCCCATTCCAAGCCAACACACTAATAAAAAAAACAACAGTCACAGGCTCCAGCCGCGGCATCGGCGCCGCAATAGCCCTCAAATTCGCCCAACGCGGAGCAGACATCGCCATAAACTACGTCTCTAATGCCACAGCAGCCAAGTCTGTCGTCAAGGAAATCCGTGCTCTAGGCGTGCGCGCCCTCGCCTTCAAAGCCGACGTCTCAAAGGAAGAAGAGGTGAAAACCATGTTCGAGACTGTGCATCGCGAATTCGGTCGCATCGACATCGCAGTCAGTAACTCGGGTATCGAGCATTTCGGTGATCTGTCCGAGGTTACGGGAAGCGATATTGATGCCGTCTTTGCGGTTAATGTTAAGGGACAATATTTCGTTGCCCAGCAGGCTTATCGTTTCATGGAGGATTACGGGCGCATTATGTTGACTTCGTCGATTTCGGCTGTTAAGGTGAGAAGAGAGAATATGAACTCTGGCTGTTTCGGTGGCTTTATTGGATTATTGGATTGTGCATGTGAGCTGACATCTTCTGATGCGATCTAGGGCGTCCCTCGTCATGCTGTCTACGCAGCATCTAAAGCGGCTGTACAGGGTATGACCAAGTGTCTTGCGATGGACTTTGGTCCGCGAAATATCACTGTCAACTGCATTGCTGCTGGCGGTGTTAAGACTGATATGTATGCTGAAATGTCGGCGAAGTATATCCCCGGTGGCGATAAGATGAATCCGCAGCAGATCGATGAGGCTTTGAGCAAGTGGTCGCCGCTGGGTCGGCCTGGAGAAGTTGAAGATGTTGCTGGAGTTGCGTCTTTGATTGCTAGTCCTGAGTCGCAGTGGTTGACTGGACAGACTTGGCAGGTCTCTGGTGGTGCTTATATGGCGTAGATAGTTATTATTGAGAATGGGACTAAGCAATATCTCAATTACTATACGCAGGGATATCACATGATCAGTCTAAATTTTGTTGGGTCCTGATTTCTAGCTAGTCTATCTACTTGGCTTTACTTGGGTTTCGTCTTTCTATCTCTAGATGGCGGTACAGACCATTTGGTCTCTTTTCAAACGACCCAGCCCCTCTAGCTCGTTCCAGATCTTGTCTGACCTACATTTGGAGATCAATCAACAATACTCCTTCGAAATCCCTGTTTGCTCCAAATATCTCATCCTAGCAGGCGACATCGGCCGCCTGGAAGATTACAACAACTACCGTGACTTCCTATGAACCCAAACATCCAAATTTGAGATCGTGTTCTTGGCCCTTGGAAACCACGAATTCTACGAGACAACCTTCAACTCAGGCCTCGAAAAAGCAAAACAGCTCGAAAACGAACCTTGTATGAATGGCCGACTCGTATTACTGCACCAACGACGATATGACATCCCCGATACCCGAATAACAATCCTAGGCTGCACACTCTGGTCGCAGATCCCCCAAGAATCAACGGATATAGTCCATTACAAAATCTCTGATTTCCAAAAGATCAAAGAATGGTCTGTCGAGCAACACAACAAAGCTCACGGGTCTGACTTAAGCTGGTTAAGGGGTGAGATCCAAGCTCTTCGGGAGAGCCAAGAAAAGCGGTCTATCCTGGTGGTTACGCATCATGCACCATCCCTGCAAGGCACTTCGAGTCCACAGCACGCTAAGAATTTATGGAATTGTGCTTTTGGAACGGATCTTTTGTCGCTGCCTTGGGAGGGAGTCAAGATTTGGGTGTTTGGGCATACACATTATACGACTGAGTTTAAGGAGAGGGGAATTAGGGTTGTGAGTAACCAGCGGGGATATGTGCTTCCTTGGAAAACCGAAAAGGGTAACTTTGATGTGAGGAGGGTGGTTTGGGTATGACTGGTAGTCGTACAAGTCCAGTTTCTAGCAACCCTTATGGAGGCAAAGGTAGAGAAATATCACTAAGACAAAGATGAGGGTGGAACATGTCGGATAAACAGACAGAGCAAAACTATAAGTATGATGTCACACCATCGTGTGAATAGAATCGCGGATAGACCCATAATCAACCCTTGTCTGTCGTACAATTCTTGACTCTTCGGCTCTATTGAGATCCAATATGAAAGCAATTATCATCGAAAAGTTTGACGGACTCGGGTCTCTAGTTATCAAAGATGTGGCTACTCCAGAGCCAAAGCAAGGAGAAGTCATAATACACACCAAAGCAAAGCCTTTGGCATCAACCATGCGGAACTGCACATGCGGAAGGGGGGATAGGCTTAATGGATACCAATTAACGGTATCGAGTGTGTGTGGGCACAGTATCCAACTTCCCAGGGGGAAAATTTTAAGAAGGAACTGCTGCCGCAAATCTCATGGGTGGCCTTGGGCGTACCATTGCCGGTAGCTACACCAAATAGACCCGAGTCAGGGTCTCGAATGTTGTTGCACTAGGTTCAGCTGCACAAGAACTACACTGGGACCAGCTGGCAGCCATCCCATAATCGTATTATACAGTGTGGGCATGTCTCTTTCGGAACCTGGAGATAGTAGCTGGTCGACGGCTTCTCATTCGCGGTGGTAGGTCTTCTTTAAGGAGATCAGCAATTATGCCATTGCGGTCCACCTTTATAATGAAGTGCCAAGGCGTAAAGAGATCATTCAAATCATATTACCATATCTTCTCACCGGTATTATATCTTGCCATAGTGTCGGTGTGCACTATGGTGTACATAGGCATTGGATGCCCTATCGCTCTTGGCTTGCATTGGCAGAGGAATGCGGATACCCTTGTTGAGTATGATTCTGACTGCCATACAGTGCATATTGCATTGAGTTCGATGGAGATTTTGCCTTGATATCAACAATTATGCACGGGGATTGCGGGCTGTCAGATTATGGTTTGGCGTATGAGGGCGCTTGTTCTGGATGATGGATTGGAGTTGTCGATAGGCGAGGTGTTTCTAAGGTAGGTGTAGGATGACGGATATGGGTTGGTTTCCAAATTTCATGGCAGATCACTATAAAGCCCTATCCCCTTGACTCAGATAGCCATGGCTATGATTATGGATGATGGATCTTATTTTGACGGAATATTCGGTTACAAAGTATTCCGTAATGCTGGACTATCACTATGTTAATACCCCGAGGATTGACCGACAACGGGAAGAGGATGATCGGACATTGTTCAATCCAGTCCACTGTTAAAGTGCCAGTAAATGGGATGGCCCGGATATCAATATTTCCGAAGAAGTGCCAAAGCCGAGGGACTAGTGTAAATATTTACCCTCTATAGACCTCGATTAGACTCCGAAGTTTAACCGCCATGAGGCGCTTCCAAGATTCCCCCTAAGATCATAATGGCCACGCGTACGGTATCTTGGAATGACGCGGCTGCGAACCATGGATGAGGTTTAGGGTTAGATTTTAAGTATAAGGGAGTAAACCTTACCCGGCCATATTAAACTCAAAATAAACTAGACATCACCTGCTCCGGTTTACTGGTCCACAAGTCTTTCTGAAGAAATGAGTTACTCCATAATCCTTAATTCCGAAGGCGGAATTGAACTACACTACACACACGTTAGGCTATCTTCACGTTCTATTTTGAACCTAGTCTGGGCTATGCCTTGCGATAGGTGTTAGATGACGACTATGTATCCATGCCAACATAGCCTGGCCCTCAATTCCAGATATGGTTTCATGGTTTGGTTGCAGGCAACGTAGTGGGTTGACGGTTGATCTACACCCCAGTTACCAAAAACAGGAAACCGACGCGACATCATATAGATCTATAGCCCTGAAGATATTATAGGTATATCCTTATCTCCGGCATTCCTGCTGGTCCGTAGCTGTTTACACTCGTTATATTCCCTTCTTGACACTCATTTGTTTCATTTTAAATCTATCCATTCGATACACTTCAATATGCGTCTCTCCTTGGGCGCATCCGTTGCAGCCCTAGCAGCATCGGCAAGCGCTGCTTCGCTTGATGATGTCTGCACTGTCTCAAATGTGCAGTCTGCCCTGCCATCCAATGGCACTCTGCTTGGTATCAACATGATCTCCTCCGCCGTGACTGCCAGTATTGTCTACAATGGCACCGCTGGCAGGGACAGCACCGGGTCCTACACCTACTGCAATGTGACCGTCAGCTACGAGCACACTGGCAAAGGAGACTCCGTCGTCATCAAGTATGCCTTCCCCAAGCCCTCCGACTTCAAGAAGCGTTTCTATGTCGCCGGCGGCGCTGGCTTCTCCCTGTCCAGTGACGCAACCGGTGGTCTCGGGTATGGTGCTGTCGGTGGTGCCACCGGTGCAGGCTATGATGCCTTCAACAACGGCTACGACGACGTGGTCCTCTACGGCAACGGAACCCTCAACTGGGATGCAACCTATATGTTCGGATACCAGGCTCTAGGCGAAATGACCAAGATCGGAAAGGTTCTCACCCGGGGCTTCTACGGCATGGCTTCTTCCGCCAAGGTCTACACATACTACGAAGGCTGCTCTGACGGTGGCCGTGAGGGTATGAGCCAAATCCAGCGCTACGGAGATGAGTACGACGGAGCAATCACCGGAGCCCCGGCCTTCCGTTTCGGCCAACAGCAAGTCCACCACGTCTTCCCAGCCACGGTCGAACAAACCCTCGACTACTACCCGTCTCCCTGCGAATTGGCCAAGATCGTCAACGCCACCATCACCGCCTGCGATCCCCTCGACGGCCGGACCGACGGCGTCATCTCTCGCACCGACCTCTGCAAGCTCAAGTTCAACCTAAGCTCCATCATCGGCGAGGAATACTACTGCGCAGCAGAGACCAGCACCTCCCTAGGCTTCGGCTTCAGTAAGCGTGCCGACGGCACCAGCACCTCCTACAAGCCCGAGCAGAGCGGCAAGGTCACCGCCCAGGGCGTGAAAGTCGCGCAAGCCATCTACGACGGCCTCCACAACTCAAAGGGACAACGCGCCTACCTATCCTGGCAAATCGGCTCTGAGCTCAGCGACGGCGACACGCAGTGGAACAACGCATCCAGCAAATGGGAGCTCAGCATCCCCTCAACGGGTGGCGAGTGGGTGACCAAGTTCATCCAGCTCCTCGATCTCGCCAACCTCCCCAACCTCGAAAACGTCACCTACGATACCCTCGTCGAATGGATGAACACCGGCATGGTCCGGTACATGGACAGTCTGCAGACCACCCTGCCGGACCTAACCACGTTCCAAGCCTCCGGCGGAAAACTGCTGCACTACCACGGTGAATCGGACCCTAGTGTCCCCGCTGCGTCGTCGGTGCATTACTGGCAGTCTGTCCGCGATATCATGTACCCCCATCTGTCTTCCCGGGATAGTCTTAAGAAACTCGCCGATTGGTACCAGTTCTACCTCATTCCCGGTGCTGCGCACTGCGGCAAGAATGCCCTCCAGCCTGGTCCGTTCCCGCAGAATAATATGCAGACTATGATTGACTGGGTGGAGAATGGTGTTAAGCCTTCTCGGCTGAATGCGACTGTCTCGTCTGGTACTTACGAGGGTGAGACGCAGATGCTTTGTCAGTGGCCTACTCGTCCGCTCTGGAAGAGTAAGAGCTCTTTCACGTGTGTGGAGGATAAGGCTTCGATTGATAGCTGGACTTATTCTTTCCCTGCTTTCAAGATGCCTGTATACTAGTTTTTCATGTACAATGTGACTCTGAGCATGCCAAGAATGGCTCTTGCTTGAGTGGGTCGGAGACTGTACAATATAGGTAGATTACATTGCTGTTCAGCCTTAGTCTAGCCCTAGAGTGTTCTGGGGTTATGACCAAGTTGAGATTCTACTCTAATTATATTTTTCTGAATACCTCTTTCTATCATTTGCTCTATCTTACAAGGTAAAACGTGGAGTTATTTTGCAAAGTTGGATACTACGTATCTGGTAGCATGTGCGTCTCCGTCAGCGCGGGGCAATTACCTCTCATTGGGGGATCAAGGATGGTGGATTGCTGTCGTGTACTGATACGCTGTACAACATTGTAGGTCTAATAACTTTTGCATGTGAGAACATGTGAAAGTGTTAAAATCAAACTATGAACCAGATGTGGTAAGGTTAAGAGTGAATCAATGTTCAATGATCCTAACGTCTTGAGAGATTTCATATTTTCGTATCACATCTATAAACTATATCCAAAAAAGAAAAACAGGCATTTGTGCATTGTAATATTGGGACCTGTGATTTACTACATCAGGTTAGTTTTGCCGTTCCCGGCCTGGCGCCTCTCCTTCTATCCGCCTGACATAAAAGACCCGACCTCTCCCTTTCGACCTCTTCTCTCCTCCCCCTTCTTCCTTCAACTCCTCTATCTTGCACTCATCGCCGCCCCCTTTCTCTCCTATCCTCCCCCACCGACCACTGCGCCTTGGCTTTCAGCCCGACGCACTGCCCCTTTCATTTTACCGGAGATGCCGCTCGATCCGACGCTCAGCTACAGAATATAGATTAGTACCAGTAGAGCTAGCTTAGTATAGATACCATACTAAGGGCCGAGGAAACGCGCCATGAGGTCGTCGATAGCTATTAACCGGCCCCTTACAAAAATTCCCATCTGTATAATTAGGGCCCCATATGGAGTATTTTGGTGCGGCAGAATCATGGCAGAAAATAGCGGTGAATAAGGGTGGTCACAGACTTTTGCGGTGCCACTGTACGGCTTAGCGCACGTGCTGCAACAGGTGACACGCTAACCCAGACTAGGCTAAGCTAGCCCCACCACTTTTCCTCAATCCCACATTTTTCACCTTTCACTAACCACTCCCACCAAACGCTTTTCAATATGTCAGGTCCACATCCTCAGTTCAGTCCTGCGTGTCCGATACCCTACATCCTCCACCCCGCGGAGCGAGTAGAGCAACTCAAAGCTTTTCTGCAGACTGATTTTGGCAAAGCCCAGCGAGTGAATGTTGAAGCTCTCATTCGCCTATATGAGAATGGCGAGCTTGGACCACGCCAACGAGGTGATCCCCCGATCTACCTTGTTGAGGGACGACGAGTCGAGAGGAACCCATGGGAAGATGAGTCGGTACCCAATAACGCGATGAGATGGTGTGAGGTATATTTCAATATCCATCAACCCATTAGCTATCCATTTTACTGGTTCATATTAATGATATCTTTAGACGTTAGAATATCAGCAAATGATCCAGCAACAAGAACTACAGGCAAATATCATATAATCAATCCTATATGGTATCATCAATAGTCTCAGGCTAATCACATGTAGTATTTTTATGACTATTAGCCGCAGCAAATGGTCCAGTCGAGATCGGAAACTTTTCCTTATTCGAACACCTTCCATATGCACCAGGTATATCACAATCTAAGCTATATCAATGATGACTTTAGTGTTCCAGGATTAATATACCTCCTAGGATGGGTGTTCATGTTCCCAGAGACAGATTCTACACTCCTAGGAAGCTAACCCGCGATCCTGAGAGCTTCAAACCCCTTCCTAGCAGTAACCGTGCCCATCCCGGGACCACAATTTTCGTATGAGTCTAATAATGCTTTAGTTCGGTGGCAAACCTAAGTCTGTCCACATTAGAGCGGGCGTTCAAGCGGCGGCTCGCTGTCCAAAGTTACGGGTGGAAAGGAGGCTGTTTCTGGCGCCAGATGCTGTCATTTTCGGCGTCGTTTTCACAGGTCCCTATATTCTAGTTGTAATTTGTAATTTGTACTTTGCAATTTGTTCATAAAAACTCCCCCTGTAACCCCAAAAAGGTATATCCAACTAAACACCTAGAATCAAAAGCCTAACGACTCTCTCTAAACCAGAGTGAGAGCGTAAGCGCCATCGATGTCTCATACCTCTCTCTAACCCAGAGTGAGAGTGTATGCGTTATCAAGACCGCAAGCCAGGGTATTGACATCATCAGGGAGCTGGTAGGACTCAACGCAGTAGGCATCACCAGGAGCGCAGGTAGCGGTGGGGCAAGACTCATCACTGATAGTGACACCGAATCCTGCGGTGACGAAGGGAGAGTCCTTGGCCATATCGATGGAGGACAGATCCCAGAAGAGGACGCTGCCGGACTGGGTGTACTCGAACTGCAGGACGTCGTCGCAGACCTCGGTGGTGGACATCTTGATAGAGATACCACCGCCGTTGTTGTTGATGAGCCAGCTGTCGGTGAAGGTCTCGCCGGCTGCCAGGGTCTGCATTACACCGGGGTTGTCGGTCACAACCCACAGGTAGACGGGGTGCGAGAGGTTGTTGACGATGGAGACACCGCTGCCGGTGGCAGCAGCGCTGCTGGTGCTTGGCGGGACGGCGCTGGTGGTAGTGGGCACCACGGTGGGGATCACAGTGGGGACGACAGTGCTCAGAGTTGGGATGCTAGTCGTGGTAGGAACAGCGGGGGCCCAAGTCGAGAAGGTGGAAGGAATGACGGCCGCCTCGACGATGGGAAGGTTGGTGGGCGCACTGACTGGGGCGACAGTGGCGTAGACGGTTTCATAGACAGTCTCCCAGACGGTTTCGACGGGGCCAGCGACAGGGAGTGCGGAGGCAGTCATTGCCAGAATGGCCGAGAGGCCGATAGTGTTGAAGCGCATATTGGAATGAATCCGGTAATTGAAGGGAAAGTGGTGAAGAGAGTGATGTCCTTTGAAAAGAGGGACTTTAGTCTGATCTACAGACTATTGAAAGAGAGTGCTAAGAGGCTCAGCCCCGAGGGAAAGAATCCAAATGAGTGTCGAAAGAGTGGTGATAGAGAGAAAGAAAATGGAGGGTATCGCGGCATTTTATTCTTTGGGGTGGAGTACAATAGAAGATAGGGCATTGGGTGTGTCAGATTCAAAGGCGTTTCTGATAGGCCATGGAAGCCCGAAAACCTCAATTTCCATAAATTTGGGTTAAGCCATGTGTTTCCATGTACTCGGGTGCCTGACTATTCTACATCCTAATGATCCTATTGGTGACCATCGTTAGAGTCAGGAACAAGAGATCTGGACCGACCAACCCGAATGAATTCACCAATAACGTTTCCATGGGTGGCGTAGTTCCTGGCTAATTTGAAATTTTCTTTTCTTTTTCTTTTCTTTCTCTTTTCTTGTGACTTGTTCGCCCTTAGTTTATACTGTGGAGTTAGGCACTGGGGTCTAGATCGAATCATAATAGAGAATTCGGGATGTTTTCAATTGTGTCTTTGGTTTTTGTTCTTTGCTTATGGAATTACGCCACCTGTTTGACATCCCCCTGAATATCATTCACTGTGGTTCATATTGTACTCCATATAATATAAGTAGATCGATATAAGTTATCCCCTCATGTTCTCCAGAGATCGACTTAATTAATCAAAGCTTATCTCTTAGGCCGAAACGGGTTGGGAAGGAATTTAGATCACTTGGCAGTCTATAATGTCCAACGTGTCTAGGCTGTCGACGAGTGGATACGAGATTGTGTCATCTTACATAGTAATTTCTTTTATGCTTCTCTCATCACACACTCTACGTATATGTAGGAACATAGTCACACGGGAAGTTCGGAAGTTTCTCATCTACGCCACTTCGGGTAGATTTAGGCCAACGGGTTCCTACTTTGTAGAAAACTCTGAATTAATTATGCCAAGCACTGGACAGGTGGCAATCCATACACCGTGTATGCACCGTTTTCTCATGAATACTGTACAAAAATGTATCGTATAATCCGCTCACCCGTGGACGGATGTGGCGATGTACCCGCCAAGCCAGAACCCCGCTCACCTTCATCGGGAGAATTTGTATGTTGTACATGTGTACTCCGTAAAAAAAAAAATCACAATGTTCAGGGCGTGGCCCCGTAGGTTACATCATTGGGGAGAACGTGGTATTTTCGGACTGCCTTTGTATTGGGAACACGGCCATCGGTTAAAAGCCCGTGTTTTTCAGACCCGGTACTGTTGCCGGCTGACGGGCCACCCCGGCTGTAGGTGTCGAGCGCATCAAACACATAACCGAAGACTTGGCGGTCAACGTCGGAGGCCCACAAAAAGTCTAGATGCTCGTAGGTTGGAATGGCCTGGGCGACAGTGTTAGGTGGCAAATGCTTGAGCATCACTCCGATATGAACGAGACTATCGCTGTCGCCGTACAGGAGGACAATAGGAGTCTTGATGTTGCGAGTAGGGTATTTGAGCGGCTTATAAAAACGCTCGCTGGCAGTCACGCTGAAGGGGGCATAAAGTTCATCATCGTAGAACTGGAAGTTCTTATTTCGAATAATTTGGAACCAATGCACGACACACTTGGTGCTCGTGAAGGAATAAAGATGCAAATAGGCAGCCAGCTTTTGTGTCTGTTTGATATTGCGACACTTCCAGTTGAAAAGGGCTCGGAGGGCGGTGTCGATGATGCGTACGAAGATTGGCGGGTAGAGTATCGTTTGCCACATGGTTGTCGAGGACAGGATGCTGCGTCGACCAAACAACAGGAACAAAAAGTCCGGAGAGGCTTTCATTAGTGAATCAACAATGCGGTTGCGGAGACCTGAGGGGGCCATGGCAGGTGCAAGGGCCACAAATACATCGATCTTCTGGTTGAGCAATGGATGAATAGCCAGTGTAGCAAATGCCTGCGCTGTTCCCTGGGAGAATCCAATGTATGACAACGAGGGCTGATCTGTTACCTCGAGGATGTACTCGATGCTGTTGGGGATATCAGAGAAGGCGAACTGATCGATAGAGAAATCCCAAAATTCGTTAGAACCAGGTGAGAATCGGATCGACTTCTTGGAGTATTTATTTCCACGGTTGTTTCCCAGCCATACATCGTACCCCCTTTCCACTAGCTGGAAGGGCAGGCATCGCTGCTCGTCTGTCAAGGCCACCCACACTTCACTTGACATGAGTAGGCCGTGGTGGAGGTATACAACCTTTTTCCGAATCCCACTGGGACCATGATTGACGCGCATATTTTCTTCTCCTTTTCGATATGCCAGCCGATGAAGTCCAAGCAGGTAGCCATCGTTTGTTTGTACAATGTGCTCCTCGGCTTGATATCCGAAAAGGGCACATATCTCGGTAAAGTCTGACGCGTCTGCAACAGAGTTGGCAAAGATTTCCTCCTTTGTGCGGGTTTGGCGGGATTCAGTGGGGATCAAGATGTTGAAAAGTGCCTTGGATTGATCATAGCAAAATTGGATGATAGGGCTTGCTAGTTAGGGGTTAGTATCAACATCATCCTTTGTTCGGTGATTTTTACTGACGAAGGCACCATGTAATCAAGTGAATGATTGTCTCAAGAAGAACAAGAATTAAAGACCCGAAGAGAGCTAGGTACTCATACCTAGAGACGTGAAGATCAGTTGCTGCGTCCTTTGATGACGTTTGGAGTTTCCTACCAGAACAGTCTCCCAATGAGCGGAACTCGTGCCATAATGAGCGAAAATCACCATGCATATGTGCAAGTACGGTTGAAGAATCTATGCAAGAGACAGAAATGTTGCAAACGTTTAAAAGCAAAACAATGGATGAAAGTCCCTCGACGTCATTACCTCCAACATGTGATAGTGGTGCTTATCTCATCCGGGGATTCCCCACATCCTCCAATCAGCGTCGAGATAACTGACAACCCAAATTTGCCGTGTCCCACCCGTGTGGACGGCCTTGTTCTTTTGCTTTGCTACTTGTGGTTGCGCATTCGTCCACAAGGTCGTGTCAACATGCCGAGTTCATGCAATGATATCCGTATGTTACACCCCGCGAGTCACACAACCGCTTAAGGGAGGGTCATGTTCCTGGCCCAGCTGCACCTTCTATCGCAACCCTCGATTGTCAGAACGCGGACTGATCACAAATCAATTATATAGGGAAGGCTCTGGCCCAATGCCTCCAGGAGTCGGACTGCATCATGGTCCAGCGTCATACGCCCCGTGAATGTCTCACGTCTCCTCTCGCCGAGGAATTACCCATGAGATGTCAACAGTTGCGGAAAGGATTCAGCGAGTGCAAGTGAGTCAGGAACCGAGTCTCAAATCTAGGCCGACAACTACGGGGGAAATGGACATTTTGGCTAATCATTGGACCTTCTTTCGACACAGGCGTGGTTTGGTCGATATGCGCAAGCGCTTCCGTGGCAATCAGCCCATCGCGGTAGCCAAGGATGTGGAGAGCGGGAAATCCTCTGGACAGCTATATGCTGGACAACCTGCATACCAGACGGTCAAGGAGATCAGCGGAAATGAAGTGCAGATGGATCCAGAGAAGACAAGGGGCCTGTAGAAAGGGTATTTTGGATTCGCTGATTACATGCTGGCATGGCCCGGAGTTCGGTTACGCTTAACATTTCTTCTATACTCACTTCTCTCAAGATCGACTGAGATTCTTCATACCCGAATCCGATAATACATATTACGTTTTCACTATCTCTCCCAGAAACACCCATCAGACGATCGGGCATACCCGAGAAGGCGAATACAAGCTCGGCAGGCGGTGGGTAGTGTCAGACCCGCCCATTTTTGAGGCTGAGAACTCCTGGATAGCCGGTCACAGCGCCTGATCATACCCGCAGATTATGTAGGAGCAGGGGATCTCGTGACATGACTCGTAGGTAGTTTCATCCGAGAAGACCACACGTGAGGTGTGCATTCTTGTTTGATTCCATTTTTATTGCTGCTCGAAGGCCCAGCCTTGCCAGCCAATGTCACGAGTGCCATCGGCGTGATAGTCACTGGTTTTTAATTGATCTTGGACAATGATACCGATCATATGATGCTGACTGGATGGACCAACCTTGACCTTCACCTAGGGCAAATAGCCTTCTCACAGTGTTCCCAGCAAGCTCTATCTTATCTAGCACAAACGCAGCTAGATAGGCACTTCACAATGCCTTTGGGCTTCCCGCTCTCCGCGTGACCATGCTTCACTAGAGCCTCGCTGGTTGTACAATGAAACCATAGACTGTTGAACATGGGATCCCAAACCCAAACGGAATTCCCATAGATACTCTACATACTATGTACATGTCCGTCTAATAGACTCAGCAGCCAATACCAATGCAAATGGCTATACATTCCTCGATTTCAGTTTCAGTTTAGCAAACCCGGGACAATTCGCCCGAGTTTGTTAGCGGGCTGAGCCATTATTCAGGCTTTTTCTGGTAAATCGAATCGAATGAAAGATGATGGAGTTTACTTCCGTAACTATGTATGTAGGCTAGAGGTAATATTAGGTAATGATAAATGATTTTTTCCTTTAGGTGTCACCGTTATCGACAACGTCCACCTACGGGCTGTGACCAATAACCCTAGTGAAATGCAGACCCTTGCATCTGGCGAGACCTATTCTATAGCTCCTAACACTAGAAGATTTGTTGCAAGGCACATCAAATAGTATAACCACCGAAGCTACGGAGAGGACAGAGAAGGGCAGAGGAGAATATCATATCATTGAGAATTGGTCATTTTTAAGACCTAATGTGTTCATTCGGGAGATCAAGATCATGCAAGAAAGTTGAAAATCATAGACAGACAGTACAATGCATACAGAGATAAATATAGATCTACTGAGTCTTCTTAAGCTTGTCAGCCACAGGGGCAGAGTAAAGCCAGACAATGACGAAAGCCAAAAATCCTCCGA